TCTTGAGCAGTAAAACTAACCAGATTCATGTTTTTTAAAAATATTTTATTCAGATACTACCTTGTTAGGGCCCATACATGCACCTGGACAGGTAGGTCGATAGACAGTGTCTGATAATCTTCTATTAATATAGTCACTGTTCCTACAAAGCAGTCTGTTGCAGTCAGACCCTTATGCTCACATATAGTCTTATTGAAGTATGACTCTCTGCTATTGTAAGAATGCACTTCCACAGATCACTTCTCAGGATCAGGCCCATAATAAGGAGAATGAGCCAGTAAGAATTTATGTCTTCAGGCCAATGTATGCTCGCTCTGTTGAAACATGCAAACTAAAAATACATGAAGTCATCTTGGCTGCTAAATGACACACAACTGTCTGAAGCAACTACTTTTACACTGGCTATAGTGCCTTGCCATTCAATACTATTATGACCCAATGTGCCTTCTCCTCCCTGTGCACCAAGGAGCCATTTAGAAATGAGTAACAAAACTTCTTCATTAATATTTGCTACCCATAGGCTTGAAAGAACACCTCTCATTGGCCTACCTTTGTTGAAACATATACATTACATGCTGAAACCTAGCTAAAGCAAACACTCATGGGGCAGATAAAAACTGACTGCTTAGTAAAACCAAATACTGACTGGCTCCACTTATGCAGAAGACAGGAGGGAGCCTTCCAGTTTGTCTCCCCAGTTGGAGAAACAGATGGAAAGGGGAAATGTTAAAGACAATGGCCAGCTCTTCTTATGGCAGCCTCAGTAGAGGCAGCTGCCATATTGTAGGGCTTCCTATTAGATATCAGCATACTACTACTGCCCTCTTAGGATACACAGGCGAAAGAGGCATGGAGAAGGTAATCAAAACCACTAGTACAAAGACATCCAAAGTAAGCATTACAGTATGTCAAATATATGAAACAAATCACAAATAAAATAAATAAAAGTGAATACAACGGCTAAGATTACCCCCACTCTTTTCAATTTCATGATTTCTTTTCTTTTCCTCTCCTCTTTTTCTTTTAATCTGACTACAAGTACTTTGACAAATGCAGCCTGCAATCTAACACCAAGCAGTTTCCTTCACGGCTGAGAGATGCACAGAAAAGAGCAGTTGTATCCTTTCCCTCTGGCTATACAACAGTTGTGTGATGACAACTACTTCACCTAGACTGATGTCAGAGAAACATGTTTCCCTAATGAATGATCTAGAAAATGATGCACTAGGTGGAGTAATAATATTTATATAATATTTATAATTTAACTATTTAATAATTCACTTAGTTTTTAAATGCAAAACATGTTTTGATAAACATTTTTCTTAGTTATAGAGCACACTTAATGTAGTTTTATTTAATAGAAAAAAATCCTGTGTTTGTGAATTTTTAATTGAATTTGAATTTTCATCCAAACATAGCTTGACACAAATTGGAAATAAAAATGAACCATCTAGTATCTAATAAATGTGTCATTTGGCATTTTTAACATAATAAAAAAAAGGAAAGTTTAAGGATCTGAATAAATGTAAATTAAACTACATAACTGTTTAAATAAATATATAAAGATATAGTGTATACTCTGGTTAGCAAAAAGAAGTACCAAATTTAGTGTTCAGACTATATTTAGTTTCAAATTAACACTGGATAGAAACCAATAAGAATCAACCTTTTCTTTAGGAAAATAATTAAAGTACGAATTCAATACACAATTAAAACTGATGTTTTAAATCTCTGATTTACAATCAATCCACCTGATTACCTGAGTATTTTTTAACGAAGAGTTCCTTTCACACACCATTCCAGAAGAAAGTCAAAAGTCAAAATGGCTGCTTGCTCAGTGCTGGTTTATGATGAGCTGAGTGGCTAAAATTAGAGCCACAAGACGTTCCTCTCTGGGACATGAGATTTCCTGGGGAAGTCCTGCTTTCTCAGGGAAGGAGGGCGGTCGGAAGAAATGCTGTGAGCGATATTGCTGCTGACTGCCTTAGTGGCACCTCTATGTAGCCAGGATATAAACTCCTAATGAACATAAAGTCTGGGAGTCTTTAAACGAATGCAGGATCTCATCAGTTTTGTCTGAGAACAAAAAACGACCACGAAAAAGTAAGTCCTCAGTAGTTTGCTGCACATCCAGAGCTATGTCAGAATTCTGCAACCATGAAGCCCTCCTCAGGGAGGCAGCTGGAGCCATAACTCTGGCCAAAGTATCTGCCATGTCCAAAGCTGACTGCAACCAAGTTTTGGCCACAATACAACTCTCCAATAATGAACGCCTTAAATTCTTCCCTGGAGGTTTCTGGCAGCTTATCCATGAATTTGGATACAGTGTCCCATTGGACAAAAGTCATATATGTATAGCAGTACCTACTTGTTCACGATGTGCATCTGTAAAGATGAAGTGTTATGAATTTTTCTCTCCACCAAATCTAGCCTCTTTGATTTCTTGTCCTTAGATGTGGACATATACCTCCCTTTCTGTGATCTGTCATTTTCTGCAGTTACCATGAGAGAGTTAGGAGCTGAGTGGGAATAGAAGCACTCAAAGAACATAACATTTCTCAGACTGATTTGCAGTGGGAAGCAATGAAGCTGGAGTGTTCCATAGGGACTTCACAGGCTCAAAGGGATCTTCATTTATCAGGAGAGCCACCTCCCCGGAGCTGATGACAGCGGAATATCCAAAACTTACACGTGTTCTCCTGTACAAACTCAGTGGGGATGCTCAAGGCGGAGGCCATAAACTTCAGAAGGTCTTGATATGCCTTAAAATCTTCAGGCACAGGAGAAGCAGAGGCCCGTACTCCAGTAATGATGAAGAAGCAGGATGTGGTTCTAATGGCAGCTCTTACAAGGGAACCAGCTCTTGTACAAGAGCATCAGGCTGAACCAGCTCAGGAGGGATGACATCAGCCTCTGAAATGGAGGCAACCAGTACCAGTGAGCTTACCTTGGACTGCGTTAAAGAGTGGGATTTCATGGACTGAGGGATATCCAAAGAGTTTCAAGGAGGCCAGTGGGAATACAGATAGATCCCCAGTCAGTACTGAGCTAGCAGCTCCTTTCCCTACTGTAGGAGCAGTGCCTGTCAGGTACCAACAGCGATCCAGAGACAGTCTAAAATGCTTTCAAAAGCAGTGCTGGGGGTGGGGGGAAGTGGAGGAAGATGCCCCTAAACCAGATCCCAAGGAACCCTGGAAGTCCTCATATGACAGTTAGTGCCGACACCAATGTCGCTGTTACTAGACTCAATGGATGCCCCACATCCGGTACCAGAGTTGATAGTAGAGACACCCACTGGTCAAGATGCAGTACCGAGGAGCAGTGAGATGGACCAGCTGCATTCCACATGCCAGCGGCACCACAGTGCCATCAGCAATCCTCTTAGGAGAGGAAGAGGAATCTCCTTGAATCCTGGAATGGTCTCAGTTCATCTTCTGGGCTCTCTTTCTCACAGGATCAGGGAAAGGCAAATGACCCTTCTTCCCCTTAGAGGAGGCACCAGTCCTCGAACCCAGAGCAATGTCATTTGATGACACCAAAGGAGACTGTGGGGCCGATCAATCAGCGGAGTCCCCCAGTGCCAAAGTGAGCTTAATGGCCTGCTCCAAGAGGTGCTGCTTTCAGGCACAAGCCCCTCACTACCTGCATTCTTCTCTTGAATGACTTGTAGAGGAAGCACCTTTCTTTAATGTGCCCTTCTCCCAGATGCAGCAAATACCTCAGGTGGGAGTCACTGTTGGGAAGAGCCACCCCACACGGTGAACAATGCTTAAACTTTGGCGAGGGCACCACTTTTAGAGGAGCTAACTACCTAACTAAAACTAAACAAAATGGTACTATTTAACCACAGTAACAAACTGACAACTATATACAACCAGAAATCTCAGAAGACTGATACTGAAAGTGTGAGGTAAAACACCACACAGAACGAACTAACCCTAGCCATAGGCGATAAGAAGGAACTGTGGGGTTCGGGGTGTGTGTGTCCATATCGAAGCCACCCTTAGATATCCAGGGAAGGGGCTAGGTCTACAGACACTGTGGATACTGCTAGGAAAAGTTCTCCAGCTTTAGTGCGCTGGGTGCACACACACAAGTGAAATACTCGTCTGAAACCACTGAAAGAATTAATTTGAATTTACTTTTCATTATAAACATGCTGCAAGAAAAGGTTTCTGAAGTGAGAAGCTACTTTCATGTGTTAATTCAGCTTTCATTTACAGTGCACAGTTAAAGCTCTACTCGTTTACGATTACTGGAAATTCACCAGTATAAGATGAGAGGGAATTAAACTAATTGTGGTTAATAACTTACACTTAAAACAAATATTAATTGTTTATGATGCACTGGAAAGGGTTTATTAAATGGAACATAAGATCATTTGTATTCTGTTCCCTGGCATTGCTATCAAGGCTAACTGGAATCAAATGGAAAGGCATTTTAAAGCTATGTGTTAGGACCTTCACAGAAAATACTGCAGCTGGTTTACAATCTATATATTGCCATGCACACCAGCATAAATATATCTTATGAATTTAGAAATACTACTATTCCTATCCCTTATAGTATTTGTGTGCAAATGCAATGCCCAAGTGCTTGAAACTGTGTCTGTTAAGTGCAATTGCCTACCCTAAAGAAAACCTTCCCCTTAAAATGTCTGTTTTAGGCTTTAGAGTTTCCATACCCATCAGGATAAATAAGAAAGTTTACAGATGTTGTTTCAATCTGTGTAGGACACTATTACACTGGGTCATATGAAGAGCACTACTTCCTATACCAAAAGGGCTAGAAATGGAAATTTAAGTTTGAAAATGAAAACTTGCACTGTGCAGACTCAATCTATCACAGGGGCCAGCTAAACACATCAAGCAGGCAAAGAGTTTGACATCCCTGCTTCAGAACACTGGTAAATTTAAATTAAACCTGTGGATATACTGCTCCATTTTTCCTGTTCAGATGTACAATAGGGTGGCAATAGAGTTTTTCAAAGATTTTCTAACCTCTCCTGGGACTCTCATGATTGAAGAGAATGCCATTCACAGCAAAGAGATTGTAGGCCTCCCTGAAGTTCACCACAATCCAGTAGGCATACAGTTTGGCTGCTCCTACAAAAATAATTTAAATATTACATATACAATCACACCCATAGACAGTGAGAGAAATGCATTTCTTTATAGAAAGATGAACTAGAGTTTGATTAATTCTCTCAGTGTGTCATATTTCACCATAAAAAAAAGCCAGCCCAATAAACAGCAACTGAATGAGAAAACACTCCTTTCTGTAAAGCCATAGTCCTGGCTAGGAAGTGTTAAGGCACCTTTCACTTGTTTTCCTATGCACACTCAAGCATAGCACTTTTTTTTTTTACAATATAATTAACACAGTCAGAGCGTGTGAAATATGCCACGGTGGTGACCTCTGCTAATAAAAAAAATTACTTTGGGGGAATAAAAGAAAATCTGGTGCCTTAACACTTCAATTGATTTGAAACTTTATCACTATAGTCTTCTATGCACATTGCTTTAATAAGTGTTTCAAGTTAGTTCACGAGAGAAGTGAGCTCTTGGGAAATTTTCATTTAGGCAACAAAAAAAATGAAACCTTATCACTTCAGTGCTATCTTACACCTCTTCACTAAGAAGGAATCACCCCTCCCTCTCACCCATTTAAAGAGTTCTCCGCTCCAGATCTGAATGAACAAGGTTTTGTGAAGTGAGATGGTAATTTCCAACCCTCAGGCAATGGCAGCAAATACTTTTTATTTAGTAATTTATAAAGGTATGCTTCTGAACATGTCTAGTCACTTTTGTTCTATCTTTATTTTAATCTCATACCCAAATGACTTCAGCCCTGAGACATGAGGAACAGATTGGGCGCAGGCGCACACACACGAACACTCACCATATGGAGATCTGGGATAAAAAGGGGTAGTCTCCTTCTGTGGTATTTCTTGCACTTTCCCATAAAGTTCACTGGTTGAGGCTTGGTAGAACTTCACAGAGTTGATAAGGCCACAGGTCTTAACAGCATCTAGAAGCCGTAAAGTGCCAACTCCATCAACATCAGCAGTATATTCTGCTAGGTCAAAAGAAATCTTGGCGAGGGAAAGAGGAAGAAAAACAATGACAGAGATTTACTAAAGGCAACCACAAATGCAACAAGTATACACAACTGATTCACATTTATACCTTGCTATCAATAGAACCAGCTATATAGGTTCAGGCTGCTTTCAGTTTTTAATTTACAAAAATATCCAAAATGATTTTTAAAAATACACTGATAACCAAGACTTCTGCAATTTGACTACAAAAGTAAAAAGCAAAAAGAAGCAAAAGTCTAGGAGACTGGTAATCTGCTACCAAAGGGCATTCCCATCCCTTGATTATTCCCACTATTTCCAGCAGATGATGCAGATTTGTGATCCTTCCTTCTCCTTTAGTCCATATTTTGACAACAGTGAAATAGTTAACAGTGATGACATTTAAATTACTATTATTGGGTATCTGAACTATTATTCCATTGAAAAACAAGGTAGTTCACACTTTTCAAATATATTGTTTCAGGCTCTCTGCAGATTCAGGCAGAAAAAAACTTCATTCATTTCACACTTTTAAGTGTTTTTTTTCCCTGCAATCATAAAAACTAGAGATTTAGGGCTTGTCTGCATAGCAACTGGAACTAAAGTAACCAAGTCAAATGTAATGCAACATCTCTAATTACTTTGGTGCAAGCCTAATTTTTAACATAAATTATATGAAAATAAATCACTCTTATTCCAAAATAAGAGGGTCCTCACACAAACTTCCATTGAAATAACTAAAGATATTAATTAAAACCAATATAACTACTTCAGTTCCAGCCTACTGTGTAGACAAGCTCTTACTCAAAAAAAAAGAAAAAGAAAAAGAAAGAAACCTGACATTCTGGAGAACAAAATGGAAGCCTAAAAAAAAAAAAGTGTGAGTCTGCCAATCTGGTGTAAACCAGCATAATTCAAGCCCTGATTTGGTGGGGAGAGGGAATAAACAATTTCGTGACAGATTGATTTTAAAACATAGCAGCTTCTTGAAACCTTTCAGGGCTTTGAAAGGTCAAAGAATGTGATAAGTAGCATAAATAAATATATTTATCACGTCGCTCCAATTTATCACATGGATACCACCTTCAAATATATGAGGTGAATATATGAAATAAATTACAAAACTCCCCTTGACTGCAATGGGGCCAGAATTTCCTGCATAGTATATATTATTTCTACTGTATTCCCAGATGATAATCCTTGCTCATATGCAAGTCATAGCAGACTATCATACATGTAAATTGTAAATGTACCTCAGGTGAGCTCAGATGAGAACAAATCTTTTCTAAAAAAATCCCAGATTACAAATTCTCTGTCCAAAGTGAACACTGAGCCTATAGTAGCAATACTAGAAATCGATCTCACTGGTTTATGTACAGACCAAATGCACAATGCAAGCTTTTCCCTATTCCTTGAGAATGACCTCAATCTTCACCTGGAAAAATCACTCTTGAGGGTGTGAGGTAATTCTGCCTCCATGTTTGCCCAGTCCCGAGTGTCTCTTGAGCAGAAACTGACAGCTTTGTGTGTGCTGGGTGTTTTTGTAAGGTGGGCTATTGTTCACTAGGGACTGGGCTCAAACCACTAAACTCATTTCAATTAGGACTTCAGGTTAGACTAGAATGGCAGCCATGAAAGTGAAAAATGTGTGCTTTATCGGCTAAACATTCCAACTCCAATAATGTATCCTAAGACACTTTACACAGTACAGGGGCATTAATGGCTTGCATGTAAATAATTGGATAACTTCTTAACATGGGACATATTTTTTGTGACTTCATTCTGACACTATAGAAGACAGAGCTTTATAAAACAGAAATTCCTTACGTAGATTATATAGACAGATTTGTAAATGAATCAGACCACAGAAAATTCAGGATTTGTCCAATATCAAATTATCTACCTTTCCTCTATACATACTGGTTCTATGAAGCCAAATAAAGATTACAGATAAAAAAAATCTCAGCCCTCTCCAAGTAAGAGCTCTTAAAGAAAAAAAATCTACAGTGACTGGTCAACATTTAAAGTGCATGTAGATTGGTGGGTCTTAGTATACACCCATTTACCCCATTCATGAAGTGAAAAGGACAATGATTTGCAAAAACACACTGAACCTGCCTTCCTACCAAAATTTGGCTGCTATGACTGCAATCAAAATAAAGAAGAGAAAATAGAAGGATTAAGAGCTACCCCACCTCAAAAGGTCCTGGAAGATGAAGTGAGAGAATTCCTGGATCATTGGCAGAAGGCTAGAACCAACACAGAGATGTACAACTCCCAAAAGAAAAACCTTAGGGCCAAATCTTACAGAGTGCTGAGCGCTCTCAGCTACCATGGTTTTCAGCACCTTGCAGGTTTGGTTCCAGAAAAATTTAAGAAATCTTATTCCTTTTTATGTGCAAAGGATTCAATCCTGCCAGGTTCTGAGAGCCTTCAGCTCCCATGGATTTCAATGTGAGAGCTCAGAAGATCACTGGAGACAGCTCTCAGGTTCCAGCAAGTATTAGTAATCTGATGACCGTTCTAAATTTTCAAATATAAAATGGTACAAGATTTAGCCATATTATAATAAAATGTTTCAGAAAATCAGGTTGCATAGATGCATTAGCTGGAACACCTCTGATATCATGTGACCGAAAGGCACAAAATAACCATGGCAAGTCACATGATCACCCTCTTATCATCCAACTTAATACAGATAATCAGTTTTATCTAGTAGTTTGCTACATTTTGAATGTGTAATTTTTATTTTAATTGCCAGCTTCAATCTTTACAAAAGATCTGTATATTACAGGGCAGTATTTCAAATATGATGTTTCCCAATTAATAGTTCAAAATCAAGCGTAGCAAGGTCTTTAATAAGATTTAAATGCTTACTGAAAGCTATCTAAATGAAAACATATGGGACTTTTACCCTCCAAAAGAACACATTCCTATCATATCTCTGAGTACTGTATACAGGCATACAGACTTACTGGTACTTGCTTCTGACCACTGTGTCGTCAGTGATGGTCATTTATGAAAATATATGCGATCTTTGCGCACTTAGATAGGTTTAACTTTGTAAGATACTTCATTTCTGCTCTGTCATTAAGAACAATCAAAAGGATGGACTAGAAGCATAATAATGTTTAGCATTTGAACAAAAACAACAGGTTAGAATGGTAACATTCTGAAACTACTCATGGAACACAAATGTTCTGAAGTTTTAACTGTTTTCACAATTGTTTCTCAATAAAATATATTTATTAGAATACACGAATATGGTAAATGCTTAATGGTTTATTAAAAGATGGAAACTTATGTAAAACAAAGGGGGAAAACAGGATAAGTTAAGTTTAAATGATGTATCTCTCATTACTGAAGTGAAATATAATGCTATTAGTAATACTGAGTTGAAAGTCACTACACTCTTGAAGAGTTTATAATACTTTATTCAATTTTACCACAGTAAGAAATATTTCTCTCGGTGTCACAAAGCTTCCAGAAAGGTTTACCTGAGAAGCAAATAATAAGGAAAGGAAGTTTGCCGGTAAATGTTTCAAGGTTCAAAAGGGCGCCACAGTAGTTACGTTTTGTGTGTGTGTGTTCCTTCAAATCACTAGTTCGCTTTGAATAATAAAGTGTGCTTTCCATTGCCAATAAAAGCGCTAGGATCAGTTATACCATCTTAATAAACAAAAACTGTTCAACTCCTTAGGAATAGGAATTTAAGCATAACATTCCAGCTGCTAAATGTAACACAGAATATGAGTCAAACATTCCTATAAAGGCTTAATACACTGAAAAAAGCAAAAATTATAAGGATTTCAACAAATGGAAAGATTTTTCACAAATCAGGGAGAAAAATATCTACCTCTCTACAAAGCCTTCAAGGAACGGTATGAGAGAACATGACCAGTTTCCTCTCAAGTTCTGAACCATTCAGAAGGTGATTGCAAATTTTAAAAGTTTTTCTCATTAGTACGCTCCCACAATAAAAAGCAGTAGGATGGAAGATTGCAAATAAAAGTACAATACAGTACTAGAAAAATCATAAATGAAAAGACAGTGGACAGCCATTTTGTCCTCTTAATATTCACAACTAACACAAGAGAAATTCAGAATATTGTTCCAGCAAGAGAACTAGAGATGGGAGTCAATAACAGAAGAGCTAATAAATATACATTTGCATCAATCATGTCACTTTTTTCAGATTAAAAAAGGAGTTACACCACCTTCACTCAAGCTGAGTAGTATCTTATTCCTGAAGCAGACACTTTGATTTCACGAGTAAGGTATTTCCCACAAGAATAAATGTGGCAGAATCAGACGAAAATGTGATCGGCACAGCAAGGGAACAAGGAATTTGAATAATAAAGGCCCATTTCTGCTACCCACACTCATAGTGAGTAGACCTCACTGGCACAAGTAGTCCCATTAAAGTCAAAGTGACACTTAACATGAGTACAAGTTTCAGAGGGGCAGCCGTGTTAGTCTGTATCAGCCAAAACAACAAGGAGTCCTTGTGGCACCTTAGAAACTAACAAATTTATTTGGGCATAAAATTGGGTTTTAGCCCACGAAAGCTTATGCCCAAATGTGTTAGTCTCTAAGGTGCCACAAGGACTCCTCGTTGTTTTAAAATGAGTAAGGGCTACAGACTATAAGCGAAATCCTGACCCCACAGAAGTCAATGGGAGTTTTGCCATTGACTTCAGAGGTGTCAGGATTTCACCCTCAGGCCCTAAGTGAGAAGATCACAGTCTAAGCTATCTGCTGTTTGGTGATCTTAAGTGCAAAGTACAATTACTACTCTATAAAAAAAAACCCTATTATAAACTACTATAAACATTATTTTAGGGCTCAGTTCACCCCTCTGTGTGAAGCAGTAGCACAACTAATCCGGAACAGGTTTACACTAATCATCTGAGGAGGTACTTAAATTTAACCATATTCATTTTTATTTTTTTAAAAACACAAGTAAGTGCAAATTAGTGGGTAAACCAAGTTTAGTTGACTTATGGCTTCCTATC